CGTGCACCTCGCTGTCCTCAAAGACTGCGACATATCTTCCCCAACACTGCCGCTCTCGCTCTAGCGAGCATATATCCTTGTACTCCATGCTACTCGACTTCTACCCAATTCTTTCAGCTCCGCTATTCGAAGGGGAAGACCGCCCTTGAGCGTGTTTTCTCCTGCGGTCGTATGCAAGGCGTGGACGATGTCTCTGCGTCGAAGGGCTATATATACAATGAACTCCGCTGCGGATGCGAGTTCTGGCTTGACGGGTAGACTCTCCTCATGCTAGATGTCTTCCCAGTCGGTGACAACGGCACGAGTCTCGTCTCTCTTACAACAAATACCCTGACGACAATGAACCCAAGCTACGACCTCTTACTTGCTGATTGCTACATATCGACTACATCAACCGCTTTAATCTGCCTTGCCATGACTTCGTGGCAAGACAATTCACATTGTGTCGCTGATTTCTCACTCACAAACTCGTGTTCGGATATCCAGCCTTGATCTCGTATTGTCAAGCGCGACAACGTTAACCAGTCGGATATTACTCGCACCCCCTGCTTTTCTCTTGCTACCAGTATTTCCCATACTACTTACCCGTTTGTTATCCTCCGCATTCGCATCTCCAGCTGCTCGTTTTCCCTTCTCGTTTACCTTGTTATTTTGTTGTCAATTCATCTGCTACTTACAGCGCTACTCTCGGATGGCTTTTGTTTCAGCTACATTGTGTCTCATTCATCGACGTTTCCTTGTCCGCACCGCGCGTTTACATTCAAAATAGACACAAGTAAGGAGAGGCTGTCCGAGAAGGTTCCGAAGACAAATAGTCTCAAAGCGGACCAGACACTCATACAAGAAGCCGCGTAGATATACTCCCACATGCACACCTGTGAGCCGATCGGTGGAAGTTCTGATACGCTGTACTACTACTAGTCGACTAACTAAAGGCGGAGTCAGCAACAGCCTGAGATAAAGTATTCCGCGTTAATCCACCCACGTTAGTCTCTGGAATCGTCCTAATACCGTCTCTATAGACAGCCCCAGCACCAATTTGTCTGCTTCTCGCACCCTTACCAGTTTTCGACCTCGCACCACTGCTCACACCCAACTCCCGCTGCAAGCAAAATGCGCACATGGAACTGAGACAATATGGTGCCCATGGACGACAGGCTTGAGAGCGTCCCCATAGAGCCGCAGCGCACGCGGGAGGTGAGTTTGAAATTTGTCCCAGGTGACGCGAAGAACAACAGAGAATGGGCGACAGATGAGATTGACGCCAAAAGTTGCTTTGGAGAATTCGGAAGCGAGGCAAAGGAATGCAGTCGGAGACTGCTTGACTCTTCCACAGTCCCAGCACGCTCTTCTTCCTCCCCAGAGTCGAGATATACGCCGTAGATCTCTCGCTTCTCTCCCCGAGACAAATCTCATGCCGTCCGAATATACACCACAATAACCGCGATGAACGACGGTCTCGCGCATCGAATTAAGGGGCCGAAAGAATCAGGTGGCCGAAGGAGGGGACAGGGAAGAGGGAGATACGGTGGACATAGCACTAGGTCGCGCGTGCGCCGCGATGCTTCGACGTCTTTGCCGGGATGTCGCTCACGTGACTTCACTTTTTAGGGCAAAGCCATCGAGTGAATGTGGACGTGATAGTAGAGGCGAGAGATGACGTGCGCAGGGGTTTGGTATGGCTTTGGAGGGCTCGGAGGTCTGTTTGAAGGAGAATAAGATGCCGGATGGGTGTTTGGTGGTGGGGGGAAGAACGCGCAGTCCGTACTACCCGCGGGATGCGGGAGATGGACGACTTCATCAGCAGCAGTGGGTACCCGCCGCCCACAGCACAGGCCCTTTCTTCGAGCCGGTCGTGCCCAGGTTTTCCCAGCGGCAAAGACATCGTCGTTGCCGGACACGATAAACTGAAGAGGGGCGCGCAGGGAAGAGGGGAGTAAGTGCCATTATTCCACGGCAAAAGGGTCAGAAAACGCACCAGATCCACCGAAAGCTGGGGTTTTGCCCAAGGTCATCCCGTTTCTTCCCCTTCCCTTCGCCTGCGCCTTGCGAAAGATCTTTGCGGACCCCACCAGCGAGGGTGCCCAGCAAAAGCAACGACGGCTACGCGCGTAGTCGCGACGTCAGCGAGGGGCAGGCATCGTCAGGAGTGTGTTCACCTGAGGCGTGGGTTGCTCGAGAGAGTCTACATTCTCGATATTGAGCAAGCGACAATTGAGAAGAAAAGCATCGACGCGCCTTTGCCTAAAGCCACGTCCCGTGCGGGCTCAGCATGTTTCTCTACTCCTTCCCAAGTATCTAGTACCGTTTCCATCAGCCTGAGACAACTGTGGAACGAGGAGCGCCTGGACCGCCATCGTCACTGAAGGGGAAGACTTGTCGTCACAGACTCACAGTGGGCTGGAGGCATGAGGGCGTTGTCTTGATTGCCCCCACATGCATGACCAGACGTTTAAGCGGTGGCGGAGCCGCTGCGCTTGCACGAGCAAGGAGCGCTGGTCGTGGTGCGGAGCCAAGATCGGCGGGTCACATGCTCGCCGGCCCGACCTTCTCTCTTTTCCACCACGACCACGAGCATACCGACTCTGTCGTCTTTCCTCGCTTAGTGGCATCCAACGCTCGCGAAGCTGCGAAACACAAGGGTCGGCCCCAGTTGAAGGCGCAGCACTCAGTGCAGGCTCAAACAAGCGTGCGTCACCGTGTTTTTCATTCTGCTTATTCTTGTGCTCACTCGTCTCGTTGCCAGGCACGACTCGCTGCCCAGAAGACCCCTCCTTGGCTTACCGACCCCTTCCTCCGCAGTTTTCCTCCGGAACCTACACACGCTTCGCTACTGGCTAGCCCGGTGTGTCCCGCCTTCGCTCCCTCTGACTTCGCTGACGGCTTAGCTTAGCTCACCCAAAATAGCGGCCTGCGGCGGAGTGGAAGGTTTAAAGGCCCCCCTGCAGGTGACTCGGGGTGACTATGCGCGAGCTCAGAGGTGCGTGGCCACTTCCGCCAACCCTCATACAAGTTCTGACTGTGTTGTCGTCAGGCCTCGCCGCCAGAACCGCGTCAACACCCTTTCCATCTCTTCCGCCACGAGCGCTGTCGTCGCAGGCGATACTGGTCAGGCTTACGTGGGCAGCGCGCATGGGCATGTTAACACTGTGACGTCCATAGGAGCAGAGCTGTCGAGGGGAAATCGAAGGAGTTTCTACCCAGCGCAGGCTCGGACATGCCCAACCACCGACACGACATGCGGAATCTTGCCACTGGTAGACAGCTTGCTCCGTCGGCACATCCTGGCCCGCGGCCGTTTACTACTGGTCGGCTTCAATACGACTCGACATTCTCTGCGCTTTCCTTGCTCAAGTCATTCGACAACACCCAAATTCACCAGCCACTCATGACCTGTCATCGTATCTTTTCTCCTGCACCCATACCCCACACCTTCCCCTCCAAATCCCCCCGCCATCGTCTCCCGGGGCTTCGTCCCGAATTGGCAGGTCACGTGCCCGCGCCGGCCGAATGGCTAGGATATATCTCGCTCCGTAGGCGGCACGTATTGCGGAAGCGGCTGTGCCTCCTGCTGGAATATATCAGTAATGTCTTGCCTGACGTTTTCGGCTGCCCTGATCAGAGCGGGCGGCTGTCATTGCGTGCGTTTTCGGAGCGGCTACCGGCGGGGCGGGAGGGCACTAGCGGAGGGCGGGCGGTGGATAGGATCCGACCGCTCGTATCTCAGAATCTCTCGCATTGGGCGCCTTTCGGGATATGCGGCCCGGAGGCCCCTCGTTGTCCACGATTGTGTCAACAGACGCAGACGTGAAGACTCCGTTGTGGCCTTTCTAACCTGTCGACGGCTGCCGTAGCTACGCACTACCAGTAAATCGTAGGGGCACATGATGATATATTGCAATTATTCACTAGTAATCGTAGTGTAGGGCGGAAGCGTTTCTAAGGCGCTCCGCGCCACATGCGACAATCGCGCCGAGACTGTCCAGCCTTCACGGAGCGGGACGGGCCCTGGTGGGCTCTCCCCGGAGCCTGAGCCTGACCCCGGCAGCCAGCGCATGTGCCGTCTGTGCTACGCCGACGTCTGCGAGTTTTTCCCGATCACGCACTCGAAGTATTGTCATTCCCGCCCCGGAGGGCACACATCGATAATGGTCGCAGCCTACTATTAAGTACTTTCAGCCTTTCAGACGCACAGCCTTTTACGCGCGCCAGGCGGTGTCTCCAGCGATACCAGCGCGACACGAAGAAGACCGAGAGGGCGAGCGCCGAGCAGTAGAACGCACAGGACGATGGCAGCAATCACTACTGGTAAAGCGTGTCTGAGTCCCCTTGCAGTCGTTGGGGCGGGCTGGACCGTGGTCGAGGAGGCGGCGGAGGCTTTATTGAAACCGGTGGGATGAACTCAAGGGGACCGACGGCTACATCTATCAAGCTAATTTCAGCGTGTAGTTGCGTGGATGATAGCTGTTGACCTCCAGAGTCCAACGTTCTTTGCCTTCAGGTTGACTGTTAGCCCATACGCAATCTTGCTGTCTTCAGCCCACCTCGCACTTGAGCCTCGAAGGAGTCGCCGGCGGCGTCCTCGCTTAGGCGTCGTGCCAGTGTCCTGCTCGTATCCAAGTCTGAAAATCGCAGGGTCAGCGGCAGGCTATCATAGCAGGTCAGAGCGGGTCCAGACCGCCGCGTGATAGATGTATGGAAGCAAAATTGCAAGCAAGCCTTCGAAAATGTTAAATCTTCAAGTTATTCCTCGTCGTGCCGAACAGCTCGCTGTCAGTTCCAGATACGCCACGAATAGCCCCCCGCAGAGCGCGGAATGCACTACTAGCATGCGCAGCGTCGAACAAGTATAGCCCGCCAGCGCCACTGGCATGCACAGAGTCAGTGGTCGTCAAGAAGCAGGCGAGTAGTGCTGACTCATCAGCGTGACACATTTTCTTCTTCTTCTTGTCGACCACGACGAGCTGGATGGTGGGACACACGCAGAAGCCGGACAGCCCATGGAGGCGCTCAAGGTTCTCGTACGCCTTGCGCTATGCTGTTTTCCAAGTTTTTCTCACCCACTTATAGATAGCACGGACACTTTTCGGCGCAACGAGCAGCGAACAGCAACGACGAGTGCGGCGACTCCGACACTCCAGCAAGCGGTGCACTGGGCGTAAGAACACAAGTAGCGACTCGTATGGGAGTGGCTCCACCGAGGGCTGAAGTCTTGGGCAAGAAATGGGGCGAGAAACAATTGGCTCAAGGTGCGTGATTGCGCTACTTCTTCTGCGGTCTTCGTTGGTGCTGAAACCCTTCTTTCGCCAGCTCCCTACCCTTCTTCGTCGCCCTAACGAAGTCTTCACTGCCTCAGTAATTGCCAGCATCCCCATCCATCGCCTCTTCCCTCCCAGCAAGCAGACAAGTCGGCTTCTTGCTTTACATGCAAAAGCATATCCTCGACTCGGAATACATAGATGGTCTCGTCAACGACTGCAGCCCGGACAGCGGGAAGAATGGAGGGAAGACTTGCAATTGGGTCTTGCATTACTTTAGAGCTTTGGTCAAGCACGGCTGCATGTGTGTATTCGGCTCTTCTATTGCCTCTCCACACGCTTACCGAGCTTGAAGACGAGTTCCTCTCCGTCGGTATCGCCTTACTCCTACTTGGAACCAGGCCTTCACCGACCCCTTCAAACGGTTTTCCGCTTCCTTTGACAACAGCTTTCTCTCAATCCTCGCTGTCGTCCCAACTCTTCGACTCATTTCCGACCACCGTATGACCTTCTTGGTCTCATTGCCTGCGAAACCTCAGCGCGAAGACCGCATTTCCCTCACACAAACTCCTCTTCCCCTTCCGTCGCCATGTTCGTTCCCCATAGCCGACACGCTAGCACCCTCCCAGTCGAAACAGGCTTTTCTGCTTGCCAGCGCCGGTGGTTCTCATTCGGGCATGCGATTGGCTTCACGATAGAATTGAGCACGACACAATGTTCGCATCCGAGGCATTTCATCCCCTCATATCGTTGGACGGGGGGCGAATTGGGTGGACAAATGGAGGGAAGTACTGTTCCTGGAGATGGCTGTCTCCGCGTGTTTGCCCCGCCACTGGCTATATTTGCGCTCGCGGAAGATAGCCGCAACGACTGCTACTTGGATTTCGCCGAATCAGGAAATGACAGGTGAGTTAGCGAAGTTTGCCTCGTTTTCTGGTAAACTCATTTGTCTGCTGCTTTCTGTAGGATCTCGTATGTGCCCTCAGTTCTCCAACAACGCTGTCCCCTTTACTCCGTCCTATTTCTATCGCTTTCCCACTCTTCAATCGACTCCGTTCATGGCACATATTTTTTGAGTAAACTTTGGCTTCTAGACTTGATACTTCTTCTACTTGTTATTCCGCTCATATACCTCCACTTATATTCGTGATACACCCCCAGCTTACTCTGTATCAGCTTCTCTTTGCGCTACATGGACACCCACCTTCCCCAGCTATGGTTTTTCCTTCTTTCCGCCATTGTGCTATGGGCATTTACTTGTTACTCTCCAAATCGAATGCGTACTTTTCCTTCCTCTCACTGGCGAGCTGCCTTGCCCATCTTGGTCGTCGCAGCACTCGGTGGGACTTGGTGGGATAGCGCTCGTTTGCCATTAACATTAGAAACTATATACATAAATATAAGGAACAGTGGCATTACTTATACTACTGAGTCACGGACAGTTTCGGGGGCAGTTGGCAGGCTACGAACTGCTGAGGTAGCGCCAGGATGTTGTCCGTTTTGCGCTCCGGCCCCTCTGTCACGCGAGCCAGGCGCAGCGCCGTATCCTCCAAGAACGACATGTTCATGTGGAGCGGAAAGACCAAGCTGTGCTCGTCCAGCCCGATCGGGATATTGAGGATATAAAGGACCAGACGGCCGTTGCTCCGCCGCGCGCGGTCGATCCAGTCATCAGCGTTGGGAACGGCAGCTCGGAGTGCGGCGTGATTGGCAGGAGTCAGCGCGGCGCTGATCACCATGTCATCGAGCTCTAGCTTGCCCCGCACGACGCTGACTGTTGTGGTGATTACAGGGCGCGGGTCGGCACCGGCGGCGGCCTGCTGCTGGCTAGCGGACAAACGCTCAATAGCACTTTGGCAGTGCAGGACCACAGAATTGTCAACGTAGAATCTGTGCACCATAAGGCGGAAGAAGCAGAGCTGTCGCTTCGAGAACGTAGCGCGTATTCCTGGAGCAACGTGGACATCAGATGCAGCATTGCAGCTGGGAGAAAGGGAAATCACGTACGCGTGAATTCGGCCTGGGTCGCAGCGCAGGTAATGCGGTGGTGACCCTCGCGCCAGTCGCTTTTCTGGCAGGCACGAGAGCAGTAAATTCGGACGCGACAGGAAGAGCACCGGCGGAAGATCGTGCGATTGTCGATGCGGCCGCACTGCAGGTAAATAACACATTCAGCGAGATAGGTACATTGTCGGGGAAGAGGCTTACCGGTGGATTATCACAGGCAGCCAGTCGAAGGAAGGGAGGCTTGTGCTTTAGGGCACTGAGCATCTGTTCTTGGTAAGCCGCGCTCCGCTTGAAATTGTCCCAGACTTCATTCAGTCTTGCGTTGGGAGTGTTGTCCAACGGTGAAGCGACGATGACTTTGATGGACTGGGTAATGAGCGGCAAAATCGATGGGAAGCAGAGGCCGGCTGGCAGTTGCGTTTTGATGAACTCCGTAAGGCACAGCAGCAGGTGTTGGTCTGGTAGGAACTGCGCCGAATGAAAAATTTGAGGAATAATGTTGGACTTGAGTGCCTTGCAGAGCGCATGGGGACTCGTTGAAACCGTTATAAGTATGAGATCGAGAGAGTATAGAAGCGTGGAGCGCCAGAACTCGTGTCCTGGATGGTCGGACCGAGAGACATCAGGCAGAGGCTCGAGAGTGCCTTTCAGTAGGTTCAGCACCTCCTTGAAAGCACGATGAGATGCCAGGCATTCCGCAAGGACCATGAGCCCAGTGGGGCTTGCACTCCTGAGTACCTCGCTGACGAGGAGCGCCAGCTTGAGTGGTCTGGAGCAGTAAATGAAATGCATAGTGGATCGGGATTGGAGAGAGCCAACCAACGCCAGATGGGTCTGGATCAATCCAACCAACATGGAGACTCCATTCCTACACGCATCCAAGATCTCGTCGAGCTGACGGTGGTTAAGCGTCAGGGGGAACATGAAGACGAAGTCATTGAACAGCTTCATGTCCACCCCCTCCCACTGTCCGCGTTGGCCGACGACAAACTCCCACGTTGGTATGAAGAGCCGAAAATACCCAGGCGTCTGCTGCATCTTGTGAGATGGCCCTTCGGCGTCCTTCCCGATACCCCCCACATCGTCGTTGCATTTGGCTTGCCATTTATGTTCCAGATCGGCCGTGAAGTGTCCCAGGGATGCTAGCAACACCGTCTTGGAAGGCAGTATGTCGACAAGCTCTTCGGTTAGCTGCAGAGAGTCGTGGAAGACGTACAAAAAGTCCACCCAGGCGACAACAAAGCCGCATAGCTCAAAGACCCCATCAGGGAGTTCACCGGTGCGCACGAAAAGATGCCCCAGAATCCAGAGCAGATGCCGAATCTGGGTCTTTGTAACTCGAGATAGAGTCTCTAGTTCAGCGGCTGGCGGGATTCGAGATGGATCCAGTATGGCGAAGAAAACGGCAAACAAACGGCCACGCAGTGTACCGTCTGCCCCTGACCAGATGCCTTCAAAGCGGCGATAGTCGAAATCGGAGCAACCGGGTTTGCATGCGGCAAGCGCAATCTCCTAAGAACAGTAAGTAGTCGTCTGTGAAGCGGTTTGGCTTCTCACTCGGTGTGAGGCCGAGAGCTTTCTGAGCTCTCGCATGTGAGCGACAGCTAGTGGATGCATGGTAGGAGTCGGGACGATACCCGGTTACCGCATCGTCACGCGCCCCTTTCCTCTCCATCGCCAAGAGAAAGGTATTCTCCTGCCTTTGCTTTGGCCCGAACGTTCATTCCACGCAGCGTAACCGACGCTGTTGCGCGCGCACAATGACAGTATTCTATGCAATGTCATCAGCGCATTCTCTGCCAGTGATTTACACGCTCTCATATATTTTTGTCCACAGCAATGGTACTCGGAATACCAGAAACACTGTACGCGGTCAGAATAGACAAGGATGGAAAAAAGGGGCAACACACTTTGAATTGCTCGGCCTGTTGCATTTTCACCCTCCATATGTTTCTCTGTCGTGCACCAGCTCATCTGCTGCTAACTTCAGGTTCAGTGCCCGCAAAAGTACGACTGCTTTTAGGCGGGTTTGCCCTAGCGTCATGATCCTGAAGCTCGACGGTGAGAGAAGAGGCGGTTTCGAATCCGGAGAGTTAGTGGGTGCGGGCGGCACTGGTGGATTTGTTGAGTATGGAGGATAGTGTCGCGCGTGTGGCGGGAGGATGGGAGCAAGGTAGGTTGACACTGCGTGTCCTTCTTCCTACACAAGGGGAAGTCGACACCAGAAAGCTTCAAGGGACATGCGCTCGGGTTTTGGGTCATCCGGCGTAGCGGAGGGGCATGAGGCAACGATGATTGGCATGTAGTATCCATTAGAAAGCTATATAACCACGCTTGAGCGAGTCTGAAAACGGAGTAGTAGTTAGTGAATGCGAAAAGGCAGGATGGCCGCTGCCGCACGATTGATCACCCAGTCCTTCCATCCCAAACCTCCTTCGGTCCGCCAACACAAGTGTCCAAAGTAGTCCTGAAGAATGAGTCGCGCTTGAGTGGGGGAAAAAAGTGAAAGAAAAAGACACACGTGGCGCCGTCCACACGTCCCTCCCAGTGGTCTGAGGCATTGGAAGTCATCTGCAGGGCCGCCGTATTAATCCCAGGGCGGCCGCGCAAGGTAGCGCGCGCCGTTTGCAGGGTCATCGTGGTGCGGAGGCAAGATCGGCGAGGTCACATGGTTTCGGGCCGACCGCCGCTTCTCTCTTCTCCACCACGACCACACTCACAACTGAGCCGTTGGCCTCGTTTGCCCTTGAAGTAGGCACTCTCCACAGGCCACTTCAAGCCCGATTGCATGGCGCTTCTACCAAGAACGACGACAAGAGTGTCAATCGGTCGGACCAGGTGGATAGGATAGCGCAGGGCAGGAGCTGGCGAAGGCAGTTGCGCTAGGGGTTCTTAGCGCGGAGTCCTTACTGCCTTGGACGGTGCGTTTTTGACTGGGTGGCCGTTCCGCACACTCATCTTACGTTTTTCTTTCCAGGCCCACATTCTCCTCGCATCTCCACGAACACCTACCTCTGGAATACAACCCGCAAAACGTACCGCTTGACAACCCCTTGCCTATATAAGTTCGCCTCATGCAATGCTGAAACCTCCCTCATTCGAGCGAGACGACCACGAGCCGATGAAGAGGACCAGCATATTGGGATAATACGCTCTGGAAGGCATGGTCTTGGGCAACTCATTTAGTGGGTCTGCAGTATTGGAGGCGCGTTTTTGGACTTGTTTTCTCAATCACCATCCTTATTTCTTGCAGACCGCACCACACGCAACACCAGCTCAATCCGTGTCGTTCTCTCTTCCTGCCAATACGGTCTTCTACCCTTTTCGACATTACTCCCCGTCTAATGAAGCCATTGCTTGCCCACGGGACACTGTCAACGCCGCTTCTCGCTGAATATGGTGACAGCCTATTATACCACAAGCAAAAGCTTTTCCCCCATGTCTTCACGATGCTCCATCATACGCCGCTTTTCCACCATGATTCCATCGCTCGTGTTAGAAGTCACTTTTGCCTTCCTCGTTCCGCGTAGTGGTCTCCCGTTCTCCTCGCGGACAAAATGACGACCGGAGCCTAATGTCAACGCAATTCCCCTCAGGACGGATGATAGCCAGACAAAAAGCAGATCGATGCTACACTTTTGTATGTCAACGCTGCAAAATACTCCGAAACGACTACTTCGTCCCAGCGGCTGTTTTTGCCCCCAACTAATCATCTTCCCGTCGTCCAATACCTTCCCTCCATCACCCGCCACACTCTCTGCGCGATTCCGAGACCTCGTTTTACTTGTTGTCATTCCCCGCCTCGTCCTCATTGACGATCTCCTTCTTTCGCTTACAACCCCGCGCGCCGTCGTGATGGAGGTCGCCGTTGTCACGAATGGCACCATTTCCACCGTTCTCTGTCTGCTTTCATGTCAACTTTGCTGGTGCAGCCGAGATGTATTCCGTGCACCACAAGGCTGATTTCGTCTCGACTCCTGCTTTCCCCGCCGGTCATTCGTGCTTCTCGCTCACCCGTACGTCTCTGGGGTGACGTCGGAGTTGATACTCGATGTTGCCTTCCCGTTTTTTTTGTGTGTCCACTCCCTCGTCCATGGTCGGACTAGCTATCTGCATCTACTTTTGTTGGATAATGATGATCATGTTTCACTAGTACACCTCGTTGCTACTTACCGAAACTACAGAAGAATTACATCACTTACATACTCAAGAAAGATACGATGCATTCGGCGGACACCCCAAACCACAGTTACCCCAAGCAAGAACGATGCGCAACACAGCAGACAGAGCACATAACGGGAGAGCAGATCTAGAAGGGAGTGATGAACAGTCTTTATATCCGAACTTGTCTTTCGGGGACTTCCATTTTCAAGTCTTCAGCACTCCATGTCGACCGTCGGGCATCCTCGGAGACACTAAAGGGGGTCGAAGAACGGCTGTTAGTGACCTGCACATTATATTCAGGCAAAGCGATCACAGCCTTGGCTTGAACTCACCGAGGAGAGCGTCATGTCGTCTCGGACACTGGCAGCATCGTCGCGAATCAGCGCATGATTGGAGTCCGCCTCAGGCTGTCGGCTTTATCAGTCCACTGCAAATGCTCGCCCGGCCCGAACGGTCAACCCACGCACCGAGCACAGGCGCCACCCAGCTCCTTCTTCAAAGCTCCACAATCTCTACATAGACCAACTGTATGCGCATGCTGGCGAAGTTGAGATAGTCCGCGACACGCACCCTAGGGTCCCCTCCGCCGCACCTCTGCAACTCAGCCTCCCTCCGCGCGAGCGCATGCGCAAACCTGAGTTTCTCCTCCGCTGTACAGAGGAAGTAAGGCCACTAGCACCTGATTCGGAGTAACAAACGACTGACCGATCCATTCGTTGCTCGCGTTGACAACCGTGCCCGGTTTACTGTTGAAGTACAGAGAATATTGCGGATCGTCGCCGACTGCATCGTCCCAGAAGCGGCAGACGGGCTCTTGCGAGGCGGTCAAGCTGCTAACTGGTTCCCACCTAAGTCGCTCGTAAGGAGTGCGCTACCAGCGGGAGTCGGACAGCCTACGTATTCTTGCTGTTATCATAACCCGCCCACTGCATCAGTAAAACTACATGTCCATCTTAGACATCTTTAGTCTTTGAACTCGGTCTTTGGTCTTGGGAGAGCATCTTTCGGTGTCTTGGGCTTGGGGAAGGCGATCTTTGGTCTTTGACAGACGATCTTTGATCTTGGGATTGGCGTCTTGGCAATAGGGAAATCCAGTCAAAAAATGTTAGCCTTATAAACTGTTTAAAAGTATCTGAAAGCACCCCTATGACCTTGTAAACAGATAGTTCACCCTGACACCCATATAGCTAAGCATTCAAGGCTGAGAGCATCGGCACCTTGTTGGACCGTTAAAATTTGCTAAGTCCATAGCCGGCGCACGTGCATCTGTCATGGTCACATCATGACAGCGCCACGTCGCAAAAATGATCGCAATTTTTGCAATTCTTCCTTCCCTCCCCCCATCATCCCCTACACAACTCTCTCTCTCAGCGCACCCCGCCCGCCGTCTGTCCCAAGGGCATGTGCATCCCCCACTCTTCAGCCGACTAACCCGTTACCAGCGTGCCGCTGCTGCATTGTCGACCTCAATGTCCTTCTCATTCTGGCGGTCAGTACTGCATGCACCGCTAACTCCCTACACTGACCAGCCGCTTTGCAGTCCTCTCAACGCTCACCCCATGTGAGCGGTGGGGCATGTCTGGGACATCAACGGCGCTCCTCCGTCGAATAACTACTCTTGTTGACGTCCACATCACGAATGCGTCTCTTCCCTTCTCTGGACGGAGCGCAAGGTCAGCGACCAATGTCTGGGGAGACTCTGAGGGCACAACCCATATGTCTTACTATGTCCCGGCGGTGCTGTGTATGTGCTGTAGGCTGTGGAAGCCGTTGTCGCCGTTGACAGCGTCGTGCACGAGATCAGTGAGCACCGAGCCCATTTCTTCTTCGTTTGGGCTGAAAACTTCAGCACAGGTAGCCTTAACACAACGCTCGAGCTCTTCCAACTCCCGAGCGAAACGGGCCAGGGGCTGGCCCTGCGCTCGCCGACCTTTTGGCTGCATTAGGTGCATGTCTTGCGAGTGGTCCATAATTAACTGATTATTCCTCAGACTCGTGACCGCTGCTCATCGTCCACTCCGCCGTCGCGCAGATTGCTGCGCTCTCCGGCCAGCCCGTGCGCCATCCTCGCGTCGGCCGAGGGCGTGATCGACCCGACTGGTGCCACCAAGCTCATCCAACCGATCCTCGCTAACACACACACACAGACGCGCTCAACTTGGTGCTCGCCGTCACCAACGCCGCGGGCGCTGGTCCTCCAGCTGCTCCTCGCCGAGGCCGGGTCGCTGCTCAACCCAATGCTCGCCATTGCGCTGTAGTGGTTTGGAGGAGGGACCAAGGAGAGGTCACGGGCAGGTACAATTTGTTTTCTTTTGTACATGATTGTGTCTTTGAGTACATTCTGCAATATATGCTTTCTTATACTTTTGTCTTGGAGCATCTTTGAGAGCATCTTTAGTAACCTACCATGATCTTGACAAAGACCAAATAGATCTTGGTAAGACCATTTTGGTCTTGGGAAAGATTCCCAAGACAAATGAATCTGCTTAGCCCAAGACCGTGGTCTTAGGCATCTTTGGGGGTCTTAGGCATCTTTGAGATCTTGGGCGCATCTTTGAGATCTTGCCCAAGATCTCAAAGATGCCTAAGACCAACATGTAGTTTTACTGATGTGTAAGTAGCGTCAGCAAGTACCACGCTAGGAACCACTGAACCTTGATATAATATTCCTATTGTTGGTTAGAACTCAAACCACATTGCTGTTTTGCAAAGAGCTCACCCATCGTGGATCACTCAGTGGCCTGAACTCCCCTGGCGCACGGCGCACACCCCTTGCCGTCCGTCGTGCGCGCAAGATGCATTCTACCGACGTTGTCTCGAGTGAGTAAAAACCGGTGAGTATCGTTTGACAAAATGCTCACCCACATAACACTCGGCCTGTGTGTAGCTGCCGCCTGGGCGGAGCCGCGAGATCGACAGACCACACAAGAGCGGCCCGCCTGCGAGCTTCGGGTGCCGCCCGCTGTGCCGTTTTCCCTGCCTCGCCATTCCAAGTTCAAGCCTGTCGCTGTGCCCAGGTGATAAGAGAGAAAAAGAGAGGGAAGGGAAGAAACACGCTGCGCTGTGGAATATATACGCTTTCCAGCGCTTCCTTTGCGCAGCTGGAGGATGCTTCCCTGTCACGAATAAGCTTTGTGTGTTTCATATTTATCACAAGACTCTACTCAATATCAGTGGCAGGCGGGGGGGAAGGTGTTACAAACAAAGATGAGCAGCCAATGGCATAGAGATATGCGACCGAATGAAAAATAGAACTTGAAAAGGAGATAGAGAGAGAATTAGACAAGCAATATACGCGAGAAGGATAAGCAATCAGGGCGAGACATGTATAGAGCATCCATCGATCTACAAGCAAAACAAGTGGCAGAAGCCAGAAGCTTTGAAATGAGTCAGCCTATTTCGAATGATTATGCCGCTCGCAAGGACAAACACTGAAGAACGAGCCCGACGACAGCCCAAATGCGGGCAGAGAAGTATTGCGGTGTGTCGTCCTACTTAGAGCCCCGCATCCACGTATTCGCGACGTCGTAACTCGTACTAGTAAGATTGTCGGCCAGAGTGAGTGACTGTGCCATAAAAGGTGTCGAAAAGGACATTCGCGCGCGTGCGTAGGCTTCAATACGGATGTGGGGTATGAGGACATAAGTGAGGTTCGATTGGGGTTGTGTTGTGGGATTTTTTCGAGAAAGGAGACTGGGGGACGATGCTCTCCAATTTGGGGGCGCTATTTTGGTTGGAAGAATGCGAGGAATGTGTTGACGGGGATATTGGATACGTAGCTAAACGTTTACAATATGCCTGCCCATTCATCGTTAGCGTCGGAATCTTTGTCGCAGGAAATTGATGACATACTAGAGTTCCCCGCCTTTCGTTCGCGCGCTCCAGACCACATTCTCCTCTGTCTTTGCGACGACCACGACAGCTTCTACGCCAGCCGACACCGCTTGAGCGCCGTTCACCACCAAGCCTATTGGTGGCTTTGCTTTCCACAAGTGGGTCCTTGATGTCGATAGCGAAGCCGCTCGAGTCGGGAAGAGGGAGGAAGAAAAGATGAAATAGGGCTGGAAAGCCAGATGGAGGGAAGATCTGCGTGGACAAGACACGCTTGGTAGGGCTTGTAAACCCTATATCTGGGGGAAAGGGCGGCAGAGACGACTTTTGAGTGAGAGATAGGACGATTTGTCCAGGAGGAGGGGGTTGCTTAGGTCGGAAAGTGCTCGTAGATGACATTGAAGGTGACTGAGGCGACAAAAACCCTGTTGACGAAGGACGGATGGTGTGTGTGTGTGTGTGTGGGCTCGTCAGGATTGTCTTTGTCAATACATGGCCAAGCCGCACGCTCTTGAGCGTGGGGCATAAAGGAAAGGAAGTATGATCCAGTGCTGAAGTCGCAATGAGCCATCGAAAAAGGGAGGAAAACCACGTCAACGCACCGATACTCCGCAAATTGCCATCTCATGTGTCCTCCCTCCTCAACTATTCTCTCTGCCAACGACCCTCTCCCAAAGTGGTATTATGTCCTTCGAGTCCGACTTCGGCGCGTTTTGGAGTGGAGACAGGTCACTTGTGCGGGGGGTGCGGCAACGACATGGGAGTGCAGACGAAAGAAGGAAATTGTGATGTCACGCATATCCTGCTTTCGTTTCGCCAAACGACAAGCTATGACGGCGCTTCAGCGGGTGTCATTATCGTCTGGGCGTGCTGTCCAGCGGATGGTGGTGGTTTGGGTACAAGAAGAGAAGACGTCACACCATGGCCGCTGTGACTCCGGATCCGCGTTTTGACTTCTACCGCCATCCGAAACACACTCGCCTCTCCGAGCGATGTCGCGTCTGGCACCAAGCGATACTCTTCAACCTCGCAGCTCCTTCAGCCTTCCCTTCGAAATCTGGGGCGCCATTTTTGAGTTCCACAGCAAGCGCCACCAAGTTTATCCAAGGCTGGCGACAGAGGGGTGGTGGGCCTCGGGCGAGGTCATCAACATGACTGCTTCGGACCGAAACACCCTCTTCAAGAGAAGCATGACGGCGCACTACCACCTCCGCCTTATCTCTCGCGCTTGGAACGAAATCATTCTCGCCAGCGCGGGCCTCTGGACGACCAATGGACGACCATTCACGTCTACATGGACGAAAACCAGACATACATGACCCCGAAAGCTATGAAAGCCACCGTGTCCCGCCATCTCCGTCTCTCCAAAAACACCCTCTTGTGTGTCTCGCTCTGGGCCCAGAACTCGAACAGTAACTTCAACGCCTCCATGCAGCAATTCGTCGCAGCAATCCGCTCGCTCAAATTCAGTCAACACTCTGCGCGATTTGCCTCGCTGGAGCTCATAAACCTTCCATGCGCTGGCATCGCCTACAATGATATCTTTGGCGATGTCTCCCGTTTAGAATCCTTCGCCCTGTGTTTCGAGAACAGGCTGTACGACACCGACGACAAGGCGCTCGCTGCTGCGGTCAAGGCGGCTCCTTTGCGCTTCATCCGCATCGCCACCCCTAGTCTTGGTACATTCAAGTGTCTCCAAAAGAATGTAGACTGGACTCGTGTGCGCATCCTAGCATGCAACAACTGTCAAAATGTGTTGCACGCCATCGCCACCTTCGACTTCAGCTACGTCAATTCCATCGAGCTCTTTACCATTTCCGCACTGTTGGGACCATTCAGACCTGAAGCGGGGACCGTAACGACCAGTCTTCCCCGACTGTACTCGCTTGTAATTGACTGCCATGTGCCGCATTGGGAGCTTCTCTTGGCCAATGTCGTGCCGCCCGTCCTCGAACGTCTTACTTTCCGCGGCCCCCTTACTCTCCATTTGGATCGCATTCCCGCTGTGCAGCACGCTATGGTCTCGGGGAACTTCGCCAGCGTCACCGTGCTTTGCTTGGATCGCATGTTCTCTGAGAACTCCACCCTTCTCGGCATTATCCTGGGTGGCCTCTCGGGCTTGCACGAGTTGCAAATCCGAGATGAAACCTCGACTGGTTCCGCGGTGGTCGCCAAGCTATGTCACAGGGTTCATCAATTCACTGGGGAACGACATGCCTTGCTCGAAGACCGAGACCACGCCCCGCTATCGCTCGAGACCAACATTCCGCTTGCGCGACTTCATACCGTCGTCTTTGAGCAGGTGGAGCCGGCTTGTAACGCTCTTCGCGCCGAAGATCTTGAAGAAGAGAACGTGAATCTGCGCCGCAGCTTGCAGCTCCGCCTCACCTTGGCTCGACTCAACGAGTTCATCTACCGCTTGAACGCACTGGTGCCCCTCGTTCCAGCGACACCTACGGAGACCCGGAGAAAGTTCATAATTCGCGGAATTCGTTCGCGCATTGCGCTCCGCTCCTGGGTTATGGCGTACAACAACGGAAGGGGAGGAGGAGAGTATTTTGCGCTGGTTTGCGAAAGTGCAGACTGAGACATCAGAAGGGGCAGGCATATACTCCTATTTATTGACATAGCATAAGTACGCAACAAGTACTTAACATGGTAGTACCCGATTTCAAGGCTCCCCTTGCATGAGACGTTGCTGTGAAGAGTGCTGTCGGCGGCGGCGTCGGAGCCCCGGCCTGGCACGTGATCCCGCCGGGCGCTGGGGGCTGGGGCGAGCACGGCGACAGGCCAGTGCGACGGAGGGATGTGACTTGGTCTTTGGAGAAGGAGGAGAAGGTGTGGGGTAGGCGGGCATCGACGAGTGGCATGTATGAAGGGGAGATGTGGGGCGGTGTAACGACAGCGTAGCGGGGGAGGCGTGCAGCAGGAGGGAGAGCGAGGCGGGAGAGGGTAGCGCGAAAGCTGTACCCGTAAGGGCGTGCAGCACGCAGACGTGGGTTTGGAGCCAACATGGCTTTGGGGTCGGAGAGAGGAGTTGGATATGCGGATGCGGCATTCCTTCAGGTTGTGGCTGGTGGGGCGAGATTCCGGGCTTATGCAGCCGGGCGTGGTCCAAGTTGGGGACGGGTGAGAGGAAAGGATGCATACGTTCGCGCTAGATGTAGGGAGCCTGCTTGTCCGCGCCGACCATGGGACCGCCGGTTGCGGAAGGAAGGTAAGAGCGTTGACGAAGAAAAAACTGAGTGGAGCAGAATCAGAGAAGGTGGGGGAGCAGAAGACTGCTACGCACCTCGATATACCCCGCTGATTACAAAAGCGCCCACCATTCGTCCATAGATCCACTCTGTGGTGATGAAGCTTTCAGCTCTGCGATACTAGTCACTTCAAAGAGAAAGCTACATGAAAAGTTAGCAGAGCGGGTGTAGGAGGAGCGAAACAGACGCACAGGCATCTGCTGGTGGATACAGTTGCTGAAGACGGGAGAAAGATGCTGGGGGGAGAAGACGGCAAGAACGGGATGGTGGTACGGAAGAGAGAAGAAAAAAGTGTGATCGATCACAGTCACATTTTCACAAGCCTTGCTTTACTCGCTCATCTTCCGTTCTCTTCATCTATGCACCGCTGCCTGGAGACCCCCGAAATTGCGCTCCAGGTCGTGCAACAACTCGCCAACTTGCCAAGAGACATGAGCGTGCCGTCCCTGGCGCGTCTGGCACGCACATGTCGGCTCTTCTCCGACTTTGCCCTCGAGGAGCTGTGGCGTGGAGACAAGTTTGTCCGCAGACCACTGTTACATCTTCTACGGTGCTTTCCGCCAGACTTGGTGGAGATCATAGAAAGAAATGACGGAACACGGACAGGAGTGGTTAGTACTCGTACCGAGTAAACTTTTCTCAGTTGCTTCAGTGTTGAAACGGTTACACAGAATCAGCTGCGCCCACTTGTCGTTGAGGATCTAGACCGTCCACAGCGGTACTTCCGGCTGGTGAAGGCATTGTCTTATCATCCTGGCGACACAACGCTCGACACGCGTATTTTGACCTTGTTTTCGACATGGATACCCTGGGACTGCATATTCCCTTCCCTGCAAACGCTCACGTGGAGTACGGAGTATGCACATGCAGATGGCGACTCCCCCGAGATCGCAAACCTCCTCCGTTTCCTGCTAGCACCCCAACTTCGCACTTTACACCTCAATGGCATAGGCGATGTGACACTCTCCCTCCTCACTACTGTCGCATCCCGGAAGCTCCCAATACGCGAATTGAGCATATCTGCAACGACTGCATCATCTCCCGCACCGTCAATCAGCGCCTTCTTGCGCTCTCTCCGCGGTCTGAAATCTCTCGAAATCGAGGCGCCTGTGGATCAACAAGCGTTTTGCCACCTCTCTTCGCTTCCGACCCTTGAGTCACTCATAGTCCAGGGCACTTTCGATATTTGTCCGTGCCACAATTCCCAACACGAGTCTTTTCCCGCATTGAATGACTCCAGCTGGTATAGCTCCGACTTGAACGACATTATCCGTTTCTTGCCGACGATTCGCGCCTCTCCGCTGAACAGCTTCTATCTCGATCCCGACCTGTCGACAACCACCACACTTGTGTCGGCGGTCATCTCTGGGCTTGCAGCGCTGCCGGGGCCCATTCAGGTGCTGCGCAAATTTACGATTATCCATCTGTTGTCGGAGGCAGAAGGGCGATGGGAAGGCGACTGGCGAATCAGTGCATCGGCGCTGGCACACCTCGCGCGGTTTACCGGCCTGACCAATGTTGCGCTGGCGGCTCCTGGCGGATTCGATTTGGACGATGACGCGCTCGCCGCGTTCCTTGGGCAGCTCCAGCAGCTCGAGCGGCTGTGCTTAACCCATCCAAAGACCACCACACGGTTAACCCTTGGCGCGCTGGTAATCGCGGCGCGACACACGACGTTGCAGTTCCTGGTACTGACTATGGACGGCGGCACTGGGCCGTTGCCGGCGGTGGGCATTTCATCCGCCAGTATGCTGACGGAACTGTATGTCGGGCACACACATGTCGGGGACCCGGCGCTGATGGCCCGATTCCTCCGCTCGCTGTTCCCGGAGTTGAAACATATTGGCAATGCGTGGTCAGACGAAGTTGACGAGCTTGATGGCGAGGCCACGGAGGCCGAGCTTGCTGCTCTGGCTGAAGCACAGCTTCTCGAGCTCCGCTGGGAAGCGGTTGCGGAGATTGTTGAACGGAGTGAGGTTGAACAATAGTGAGGCGAAACAACATTGGTGATTGATGGAGCCATAGCTAGTACTTGCAATACATTATATTCAGGTAAAGTACTGATTCCGGCACGAAGAAGAGGTCGCGTACAATAACTTGAAGTATGTAACAGGACTATGAATATCCCAGAAATTAAGACCT